TATTAAATCATTGATCATTATATTAAAAAAAAATCGGGCTCAGAACAGCTCCGTAGGGTAAACCCTGTTTTGGTTTGACTATAACCTGACACAGCATGACCATACTTATAATGACCATACTTACATAGCTTCTGCAATTTGTCATTCCAAAAAAGAGGTATATTTATTTTGTCTTCTTGGGACACATAGAGAAGCTCACTTTAGTACAGCATGTTTCAAAAAGAATACACGTATTTCAAATGCATATATTTATTAGACTGTATGACATATGAATATGAAACTTTACACACATATGTACGAACCTCTCAAGTTCAGATTACAGATGTTCATTATGTCCTCTATCAGCGACACAAACAATATCACATCGATATTCAAATTCCTCCCATACTCGGGCAAGCATATCCGTCGTTGCTGATGTTATGACAGTAAGGATCCGGTTCTTCATGTCGTCCAGGTTCTGGGGGAGTGGTGGTACAAAAAAATAGTCTTTAATGAAACCCCACAGGAAGAAGTCACAGGGTCAAATCCGATGGCCATGGAGGCCAGCTGAGACATGCCAAGTCGCCAGCTTTCCATCAAAGAAGCATGAGCTGTAAACAGATGATTGGGATATTGCACAAAACACATTGATTTTCGGCAAATCACGTACATGTTCAATGGCTGCATGTGGGTTCTGTAGGCCCCAAATTCGAACATTGTGTTTGTTTACAAGACCACTGACATGAAAAGTTGCTTTATCAATGAACACGATGCGTTGTGCAAAAGTGTTATATATTGTCAATAGCATCAATAATCTCATTTTAAAATGCCACACATTTGCGTTTGTCATCAGGATGCAGAGCATGTAACAAATGTAACTTGTACAGCTTCATATCCAACCAGCTACTCAAAACACGCCAAATGTTGTTGTAGGCAGTTGTAACTCTTGAATAGCACGACGAGTTGATTTTGAAAGATTACGCTGGAAAGCAATTTGATTTCATGCAACATTTTCATCACGAACATGAGAGCAGTCAGGTTTCTTTCCTTTACATACACATCCTGTATTTACAAACTGTCAATACCATCTCTGAATATTCCACCCATTTTCAGGATCACTCTGGTACCTCAACTTGAAATGTCTTTGCACTTCACAAACTCGAAAACACAAAATGACTTCTGCTGTGGAGTAGCCATTTTAAACATGTGACAGTTATCACGCAAAACAGAAGACAACTGACATCTAGTGGCTATTAATATAAACTAGACTATGTATTCATTTCGCCAATAGCCGAGCCGAGGTGCAGTGATCGATAGTTTGGGCAAAATAACATAACACTTTGTAATACGTATATTCTTTTTGAAAGTCGGTGTATAACATGGGTAAAGAGTTTTGAAGAATGTTCAAGATTTGGAGAAACCAAGGAATCAGTTATAAATATATCAGTGAGGCCTTTATCATTGAACCAGTTTGCCATTTTAAGATTCCAGGAACCCTGACGAGGCTTCCTGTATTTATATCTTGCAATACTGCATTGTAATATTTTATGTCCATTGCCACCAGGACTATTAATTAACTCATGTTCTATTTTACATGAGAGGTAGGTGGGCTAGGAGTAAATCAGAATGAGAGATACTTCCATTGTAAGACAGAAAAGTTGGAGAATTTCTTTCATTCTCAATGAAATCAATAAGATTTTCAACTGTGCAGCCAATACTATTTGATGTTGAAAAATCCCAGCAAGCTGAGGAGGTGTTGAAGTCTCCAAGTATAAGTGAATTTCTATTCCAGAGGAGTATTATTCTTTCAAAATTGGGTTTATTATTTGGAGGATTGTACAAGAAGAATATCCTATGTGAGGTCTCTTGTCTCCATACATGTATTTTCGGAAATTTTAATTTATCGTTAGTATTCATGTAGTGAGAGGCAATTAACTTTGCCTTTAAAGAAAGTTTTACAAAGACAATAAAACCAGAAGCAATTTGTCTTGATCACTTTAACACAAATTACTGCCATTAAGCATATCCAGGAATATTAAAATATATTTCATTGTCTGCAGTAGCTCCACTCTCAACAATGCCCATTATGTCAAAATCATGAGTAGAAATAATACTCTTCAACTCGGTAAATTTGTTGTGAGTTAAACCGCCAGCATTCCAAAAAGAAATCTTAAAAGCTGGTTTAGTCCTAGTCTTAGAAAACACTTTTTGCTTAACTTTTCCCTTTACTTTTAATACCCTTAAGAACTTGCACCTATCACCAAGTTGAAAATGTTTTTCTATTTCTTCATCAATGAGGGCTACTTAAAGGTGACAGGTATCAGTCGTTTAGTTTAAACAGGGGGCATCACGTGAAGGTAACTGATATCAGCTTCACTGGAGAAATATCAGCATATAAAGGATTTTTTTCTTCACAATATGCCTTCATGGGGTAAATGGCAGTAAATCCAGCTAGTATGTTAGTACCTAATCACTATACACTAATGCTGTGCTAAAATGTTGTGAATAGTAATTGGCCACCATTTGGTTTTTGAGACTGGGCCTCTTCTTCTCCGTTCACCCATTATGTGGGAAAGAATATAAGGAATGTTGTTCTGCACTACGTGCTTTCATGGTATAACTGGCATCATGTCCACCTAATGTTAGCAGATCCAGAGTTCAAATACCAGAAAATGAGTGGCTGTTTTTTTTTGGGGGGGGAGGAGGTATTTTCAGCTCTGTTTAATACTCAATTGTTTTACAAGCAAATGATAGGCATAAACCAGTTAGCATATATTGTCACTTTTAAAATTTCTTTCAGGTTAGTGCATAAGGGGATGGAGCTAGATTTTTCCCTCTTCACAATTTGTTTGATAAAGTATTGCGTGTTAGCAGTATGATGCTAAAGAAATGAAAAATTAGCTTTTATTCAAGTGATTTTTGTTCCTGAAGTAATATATGAAGCATCATTTTCTGTAAACTTTTGAACATCACAAGTATGTTTCACAAGTTGTTGAATAGTGCTGTCAGCCAGTTCCAATTCAGATGAAGTAGTACAGAAAGATATATTTCAGTTATATTGAGGCAGTTTCTTAACATGTTGTCTTATATATTTAATGTGCACATAATCTCTGCTTAGCTGAACTAATTGATTCTATCTTGTACATTATTATATGCTAATAAAGTTTTCATCAAAACTTTGATGTGTTGAATGTTCTGAGCTCATGAAAATCTTACTATGTTTATCATTTCATTACAAAATCATTTTTCGAACATCTTTCCAATCTGAATTTTTACTAGAATTTGCATTTGCAAGGTAGTTAAAGGGATGACCAGCCCCATTTGTTGCACTTTTATTTAAAAAACTATAGAGGTAATATATTTTATGTTGAAATTATGATTTGTGTAACTTTTTTTCCTGACATAGCCGTACATGTTACAAATGTCCAATAAGAGGAGTAGTTAGTGTACTCTAGTTTACTGTTATTAATTTAGCAATTTACTTCTGAAAGAAGGAAGGAATTCAAAGGAATTCTGAAGCAGTAGTATTTCAGGGTTTTAGGCTCCGTAAATGCAGGAGCAAATAAGAAAAGCTGATAGATTAAAAAATTATGTAACTATGAATGTTATGATGTAGGTCTGATCTTTATATATAGGTTGGGGCAAAAGTCATGGCAACTATTTTTTTCCTTGAAGATACCATTCTGGTTGAAAAATGTGACATATACAGACGAAAGGACAAGGTCTTAACTACGTGTGTGGACAATGAATAGCACTGAAATATCGTAACACATGAATTTATTACAGTAGTATACAGGGCAATATAGCCTTCACCGTGCAAAAGAATGATAACACAATACACATAAAGTTGACATGACCAAACCTGGGCCTAAAGACCTTCAATGTAGGCCCCTGCTACTGTCACACATGCTGCCAACAATGTGGGAGGCGCTGAACACCATCAGCCTCAGCATTTGCCGCACCATGTGTGAATTTGGTCATCTGTTGGCGCACAACATTAGCAATGTTCTCTTGTATTGCAAACCGCCTACCACGTATTGGTTCCTTAATCTTGGGAAGGAGATCAAAGTCACAGGGCGAAAGGTCAGGAGAGCACGGTGGGTGCTCCAATTCTTCCCATCCCCAACGTCAAGAGTAGCTGCCATACACATTCTGCTTTATGTGGTCTTGCATTGTCGTGCAGAATTATTGCACTGTCCACAAGATCCGGACGTTTATCCCGAACGCCACGTCGTACCTGTCGCACCAGGAAGCCCCTGTAGTACTGTGTAGTTACTGTTCTCCCTGTGGACATCCTGTGGACAGTGCATTTCTCGATGCCACTTGCCCTCTCTAACTCCAGTAATGCCCATCGTCTGTCTTCGTCCATGAGGTGCTCGATGACAGCCCGTGCCAAGTCGGTCCGCACACTCGCCGGTCATCCCGAACGTTGCTCACCACTGTTTGACACACGTCCGTGCTGAAACTTTCCTACCCACTGTGCTACTGTACGATATGGTAGGGCATTATTCTCAAGGGCTTCTACTAATTCACTGTGACATTCCATCGCATTCTCCCTCGGAGAACGGCTATTTTGATGTAAGCGAGCTGCTCAACACAGGTTACCTCCATCTCACACGGCACTCACCAACTGACTGATTTCAGAGCCCTCGCTACCACAGAGCCAGCTATCACAAAACCATCTGTTATTCTGCATACACACTATGCCTGCAGAACTTCCACACGACACATATACGTTTTGTGATCCATTCACATATCTACAAGAAAAAAAGTAGTTGCCATGACTTTTGCCCCAACCCTCCGTATGTATAAACCTCGTATGTAATTGTTGTGGTTTTTTTTAACTAGCATGTAGTTGAAATTTTTTTGATTAAATAAGTGTAATATTGGTTTAATATCTCCTTTTCTTTTTTTTAAAAAAAATATTTTTGGGTAATATAGAATTATGTTTGATGATTCTAAAATAAAAATTTTGCTATGTTAGAAAATAATTTTCTATATTTTTCATAAAATAATTCCAGGAAAATGGCTTCCAGCCGAAGAGCGTCGGTTGGCTGAAGCAGTATATGAATTAGCAAATGCTTTACCTGGTGAAATGATATCAACTGGTTTGTCTTGGGCAGTTGTTGCTGAAAGAGTTGGCACTCGTTCTGAGAAGCAGTGTCGCACAAAATGGCTAAATTATTTGAATTGGAAAGTGGCTGGTGGTACTGAATGGACACGTGAAGATGATGTGACTTTAATTTGCAGGTATTCTTGAATTTATCTTTTATCTGGTAACCAAAAGGTTTTCTCATTTTTTGATAGAGGTCACTACAGTAGCTGATTTTTATTGTTAATGGATTTTCATAATTCATGTTCTGGGGTTATTATAAAGTAATAAGAGTCTTTTATTGAGGATGGTTTTACTGCATTTAATTTAATTTACTGAATTACAACGTATTTGGCATGTATATTAAACCTAGGGTTATTCAGCCATGTTGCACAGATGGGATTCAAGTTTGCACTAATATTTCAAAAGTATTCTACAAAATATATGTTGCATTTGGTAACAATACTGTAACTAATTATATTTCATAAAAGGAGAATAAGGATATTTTTCTGATCAATCATAAAAATGAGCAGTTTCTGGAATTTCTTATTGATATTTGGTGAAAAAGAAGTCCAGTCCAGTAAAGAAGTGGAAATATCGTTAATAATCTCCAGAACTGATTTCTAAATGGTGAGAGGTTATAAAAACCAGTGAAAAAATTGTGAATAAAAATAACAAAACAAAGTAATAATGAGTTAAATAATAAATACGAGTAGAAAGTAATTAATTGAAAAATAAAGGGAAAAGTGTAAATAAGCATGTATTTTTTCTAAATTACTTGGTTTGTCATAATGTATGCACTGTGTATTTTTATAATTTAAATGTTAAATTAAAGATCTAAATTGGCTGTAGTCTTCAAATTGGAAGATTGTATATTGTGAAGCACTGGCAACTTCTATGAAGAGTGAGGACATGAACAGCAGTGAAATGCTGAGAAAAAACAGCAAAATGAATCATGCAGAATGCTTGTTATATTGTATTTCAGAACTGGATCATGCAGAATGCACTGAATCAGAATAAAACAAAAGTCTTAAGAACAGATTTGTAAGATATATATGAAAGGTACAGTTGTTGTGTTGTATTATATTAAATAAAAAATGTGTAAAAAATACAAGTTTATCTTATGTTTGACACCAGGTGACGTATTAAAAAAAAACCACAATCATTGGTCACGACAAATTACTCTCAGAAGTAGCATAGAATAGTGGTGCCATAAGGTTTAAAAAAGAATCATCAAGTTTTGTGCATAATGAAAAATTAGATTATCCTTACCTTTGAATCAGCTTACAAAGTTTGCAAAGACTCCTAAAGATGAGAATTTGGCATTGCTTGTGTTAAAGTGGATAAAATGAAAACACTTATAAAAAATGGCAGAGCTTTCAGAACATCAATAACTAACATTGTAAACAATGTAAATGATGATAGAAAATAATAATAATAATACTAAAAATTTACTAGAAGATTTTTTAATATTATTAATTGAAAAAGAAAAAGAACTGTATAATTTAGATGAAGAAATTGTAGCTTTGAAATGGAAGTTGAAAGTTCTAGGAATTATAAGGATAAAATAATTTTGTGTAACTGTAGAATAAATAAATATTTAAAATCCAGTCTGGAATAACACAACACAAACTCAGATATTAGGTTAACTGAATACAAGAGTGAAAATTATCAAGTTCACCTTCCTAAATTAGAGATTTCTAAATTTTATGGTGATGTTAGTCAGGGGTTAAGTTTTTGGAATTCATTCAAAATCATGATACACAATAATATTGCTTTTTAGAAAGTATAAAAATTTAATTACTTAAAAATCCTGCTTAAATGAAACTGTTGCCAGTGTTATAAAAGGTTTTACAATACTGGGAAAGGAAGTTACGATGCTGCAATGCAAATTTTAAATACTAATGCTGCAATGCAAATTTTAAATACTAGATTTGAAAGACGTGATGTTATCATAAATGCGTATATGCAAAAATTCCTAAATCTCTTTCCCACTTACCAGTCAAGCGACATTTTAAAATAAAGGAAATTATTTGAAACTATAGAAATGCAGGTTCAAAAATCTGTCTTTAAATTTAATCCTGAAACTTGTAATGTAGATTCCAGTTTTATTTAATTTCAGCATATTTAGGATTAGATTATAGTTGTGTAAATGATGATGAGGCATGTTTCAATATAAATAAATTTCTAGACTTCCTAAAAAAAAGAATTACAAGCTCGAGTGAGTGCAGACACATTTAATGCAGATGATAGAATGGCTACACAAAGTCAAAAGTTTCAGTTTAGCTCCAACAAGCCATTATAAACAGATGTAGATGTTATCAGCAGCAACATACTGCAACTGACATAAACAATTGACTAGCAAAAAGCCTTACATTGTATTGTCTGTATTTTAAACATGTGAGTTACTCACCTGCAATGTGTGAAATTATTCAGATATTGACATAGGCTTTAAAAGAGAAAAATTGAAAGGACAGGGCTAATGTTGCAAATTCTTCAGCAGGAGGCATATAGAAAAATATTGCAGAATGAAAACTTGTGAATTGTGCAGTAAACCTCATCATATATCTTTATATAATTCTGAAAAGCAAAATTTAAAAATTAATAAACAATGTAGTAAAACAGAAAATCCTTTACTTACAGTAAATATATCAAATGATGCTTTAATGAGTTTGAAGGATAGGTCTGACAAAATTAATAGATACATTGATTCTTTAATTACAAGTAAAATGTGATAATAAAGTATTAAATACTGTTGTTGGTACTGCCACTCATCATTATTGTAGAGTACTGTCGTACCACAATATTAAGACCACGTGGAAATTTAATATTAAAATCTGCTTTTTGACAGAAGGTTAATGCACCTTTAACAAATGTACATTCAGTTATGAATTCACAACTAAATACAGTGTACGAGCCTTTTACAGTTATGTGTGCTATAGTTGATAATCTAGTACATGATTTACTCTTAATTTTTGGTGCTTATAATGAACTAATTTCATCTAAAGGTAATTTTGAAAGTTGTGTTAATATTCTAAATATTGATGAAATACAACCGTCTCATGAAGGTAAATCTGTTAGTTCTGGTGAGAATAATGTGATGTCCAGTATTGCCAAAGTATTAATGTTAATAACAGTGATAAATCATTTGCAGTAAAAATGCCGAAAGCAAAGACCAAAAGAAGAAGCAAAAAATTAAACAACTTACTGATGAGGATGAAGAGAGGGCGAGGAATGTAAAGTGCTAAGCACTGATTCTGAACATACTCCACCACCATCAAGTAATGAATTCGACCAAGAGGGTGGAGTCTCTGGTGAATGGAGAATGGTCATTCATAACAAGAGGGAAGGCAAGAACTAAAGTGAGATGAGAAAGAGGAAGAGATAGTTCAGATGAAAAATGGAATGGAAGGAAGTGATACATATAGACTTGTTACTCAACAAATGATTCAAGAAAACAAAGCCAAAGGTTCATAAGTGGGTCAGCTCTGTTTCTGAATCTGAAAAGAGCGTGAGTTACAACAAAGAAAGTGAAAATAGTCAAGAATTGGATGATCAGTGGGAAGTTAATAAAAACTCTGAACGGAATCGAATAAAACTCAACATAAATGAGAAAGCTATTAACAGTGAAGAGGAGAAATCCACTTCTCAAGAATCTCAAGGAAGTGGGTGAATAAAATCATTTCAGATGAGAGTGAAAAAGAGGAAATTTCATCAGAAGGTGACAAACAAGACTGTGACGCTTATGACAGTGATGAGCACAGTGCTAAGCAAGTTGTGAAAGATAAATTTCCAACTGGAAAAGAATTTTCTAAAGATGTTTTTGTAAAATCAGTTGAACCAGAAAAGTTATTGAAAAGGCCACCCAACCAGTATAGTGGTTAGCGTCGCTGACTGCCGTGCTGAAGGGCCCGGGTTTAAATCCCAGAGAAGGTATGGGTGTTTGTAAATGTATAGTGTCAGTGCAGCATGGCGGCAGTCTAAAGATGCGGCGAGCTGAAAGTCCTCTCGTGTGGTTTGGTGCAAGGGGAGAGGGGTGGGAGACCCTTGGGGTGCTCTCCATCAAAATTAGGGGCAGAACTGAGCCAAAATCACACTGTCACATGTTAGGTGCTCAAGGCTGTTGCCAACGACAAGGCGTTAACTTGCGCTTCTTGCCACGAGGAATTTCGTAAGCTGGGGCTGACTATGTCAGACAAGTGAGCATAAGCAACAACAACACAACAACAGTTATTGAAAAGAAACATTACTCCAAATGTAATGAAACAGTCATTGTTGTAGTAGTTTATGATAAAGCTCCTCTCAAGACATTTAAAAAGGAAGCTACAAAAATGGTGCCTTGTGTTATTCCTTATGATAAATTACTAAAGAGTGGACATGATACAACACCTGAAGAAGAAAGCAATGAGGAAGTTCCTAAATGCTGATGCTCTAAGTCGACTAGCAGCTTCTCACTGGGAAGACGTTTAAACTTTTATGAACAATTTCTTGAACATTTTACTTTCATAATATCCAGTATTGAAATCTTATGTTTTAAATATCTATGTTTTTATTCATATATGATATTTTTTTTAAGATATTGTTCATTTAGTTAATTTCAAGTATTTTTTGTTTAATCACACCATTTGAGCACCCACTTGAATGTAGAGGTTTGAGGCATTGGTGCCCTCTATGGAGGGCAGGGACACCAACTTCACTGAATTGCAGAGATAAACAGTAAAACAGATCACGGGGAATGCTTTTTGTACTGTTTTTCAAGATGGGTCACGTGAATGTTTTCAAAATGAAACAAAAATCTTAAAAAAAGATTTATGAGATATATATGAAAGATATAAGTGTTGTGGTGTATTACTGGGAATAAAAGTGTTTAAAAAATACAAGTTTGTTTGATGCCAAATAATGGAGGGAAAAAACCCACAGTCATCGGTCATGACACTCAGTAAATATTCTCACATGTTAATGAGTAATAACTCTTTGTTCTTTCATAAAAATGAGCAGGTTTTAGAATTCCTTATTGATATTTGGTGAAAAAGTAGTCCATTACTCCACTGTAAGTGGGCATATGGTTTAGTTATCTCCAGATCTAATTTCTAAATGGCAAGAGATTTACAGAAACCAGTGAGGAAATCATGAATAAAAATAACAAAATCAAATAATAATGAGTTAAATAAAAAGTAAGTAATTAAAAAAATAATGAAAAAAAGGGCAAATAACCATGTTTTTTTTTTTTTTTTTTTTTTTTTTTCCAAAATTACTTGATTTCTTGCATTGCACTGTTATAATTTAAATGTTTAAATTAGCTGTCATCTTAGAAGTGGAAGTTTGTTAGTGAAGATAAATTAGAGATCTATTGCTACAAGAGGAATAGCTATAAAAACTAGAGAGAAACCATATGAACATCTATCTTATCTTATGTTTCTTATAAAATAAAAAAAGCTATTTAATATATTGTTGTTTAGGTTGTAAGGTTCTTGAGAGTGATATGCAATAGTGTAAAACATGGTTTCCTACCAAAGGAGTAAGTATATTTGCTGCAAGTTGAAAGCATAAGATTTAATGGGTGCTTTCCTTGAGTTTAACAAAACAGATGAACATATCATGTCAGACTATGACACATTAGTAAAACCAGATGATGAATAATAGGTGAATGTACTTGACTGGTACAACGAGTGGAATCTACTTAACAGTTCATTTATTCAGGCAGGTACTTGGCAGCATAGTAAATGGTCCGGTATACTATGCTAGATTCCTGTTACAATCTAGTCTTCCACAGCTATACTCCACTTGGGTTTCTATGCCTTAAAATCGCCACACAATGATTCACGGCTCTTGGCCACGTCAATAAGGCACATCGGAAGAACACACAATTTTCACCTACATCTGGAGGACACACAGTCTTCACTGACATCTGGAGGACACACAGTCTTCACTCACACCTGGAGGACACACAGTTTTTACTCACATCTGGAGGACGCACAGTTTTCACTCACATCTGGAGGACACACAGTTTTCACTCACATAGGGAGGACACACTGTCTTCACCTCATTCCTTATGAATTCTACCATGGGATTGTATACTTTATTTTAATTTATTTTATTTTATTTATTTTATTTATTTTAATTTATTTTATATATATATATATTTTCTCAGCTCAGCCACAAAAGGGGAATGCAAATTTCCCAATATAAATCTATATATATTATGTGCATTTACTTTTAATAAACGTGTTTCCTTCTAACATATAATGTGCATTTATTAATTGAATCATTTCATTCCATTCTCTTGTATGATGCATATAATTAATGATGTTTTATCTATCCATGTTATTCTTTTATTGATTTTAAAATATTATTTCAAAATTCTGTTAACGAGACAGTTTTTGAGCAGAACAGGAAAAATATATATTTTTATTCTTTCCTATAGTAATTTTACTTTTTGCATATGAATTACAAACTGTTGAATTATCATTTTATATTATGAAGGAAAAGATTGATTTCATTCATTTAATTGCAGGGTATATGCACTGAATGCTACTGATGAAAATCAAGTAGATTGGGCTGAGTTAGCAAAAGGCTGGTTAAGGTATTAATTTTATATTCATGCCTAGTTTTCAGATTAATGTTGTGTCAGTTTAGCATATAACTTAACAAAAAAATATATTTTATAGTGTACGTTCACCTCAGTGGCTTAGAGGAAAATGGTGGAACCTTAAAAGGCATGTGCCAAACTGTAATATTATTTCTTTTCAAGGTCAGTATACATGCACATGCACATATATTTACATATCAAATTATTTTGATTGTTAAACACAGCTTAATTTGTGTAAAAATAAAATGTAAATTGGAATGTGAAAGGTCTATTGTATTGGAAGAAAAAAATAGCTAGGAAGCTGTAGTAGTAATTAAAAATTGTAAATATTAAATTTATAAAATAAAATAGATTATTATTTGGTTAAATGAAATTAGATTGACTTCCTCATACAATAATTAAGTAACTCTGATTAAGCGTTTTTCTCTTCCTAGCCTACTTGAGAGTAAATTTAACTGCAATTATCGATAAAGAATTTAAACAAAGAACCCAAACTAGCTCTGGAATAAATTAGAATAGCATCTTTTGTTAACGATGTTTATTTTAAGCTCATGCCAAATCTAGTGCTATTTGACGTCCATAAGATTTGAAGCTGAGTAAGCATATGTATAAGTACAAGTTGTTCATTCTGTGATGTGCCATCAATAAATGTAGTCTTGTGGTTATGCGTGTCTTTGCCACCTAGTTCTTCCCTGGTTCTATGTAACATTTTATGGTGTCAGAATTGGGATATTGGGGATTGATCCGAGAATATAGCCAAAGATTTTATGGTAAAAATCTGTTGGGAAGGAAGGCATTGAAGAGGGAAAATTGGGAGGTGAAGGGGGCGAATTGTTTGAGGCGAGCTGGTTGGTTTTCATTTCAATTTGTTGATGTTGAAATAATTTATTGGGTGTTGTAGAAATGCTTGGAGGGTTAGGGAGGTGTTAGGATTTGAAGTAGTTTGAAGAGCAGGTCTGTATTTGTAATAATTGGAGCTAGAATATTGTTGTATGTGTTCTGTGTTTAAGTTGTTTGTTTAATGTATATGTTTGTTGTGTATTGAATTAGAAGTGTTATTTTGAATACAATAACATTGTACGTAATAAAATAAGTAAAAATGGGTTTGCTAGACAGATAAAAAAATAAGCATAAGTCAGTTAGAACTGCTTCTACAAAATTGTTAAACAGCATAGAAGAAATGTTTAGAGATCTAAATATACTTAAATCTTTAAATAGATCTTTAGATTACACTGATTGAAAAATTGCAGTTAATTATTGAAAAAGAAAGCATGCTAAATGATTTTAACTTAGGTATTGAGGCTTTATTGCCTGTTGCTGAAATTGAAAATGATGCAGCTACTTCCATAGATTATTCTGAAAAACTTTCTTTGAAAGTATAGAGTTAGAAATCAGATCACGAATTTGAAGGGTATTGAAACATCTGATACTTCTCTTTGGGTAAACAGAACTGTAAAACTTAATATTAAGCAATTCTAAGGGTATACTTCATCATGGTTAGAATTTTTGGGTCAGTTTGAGTAGGCTAACGATAAAAATTAATGCAATTGTGAGTCAGAAAACAATGCAGTCATTATGCACTGTAATTCAACAGCATCAAAAACCAGTATATTGTCGTTGACATGCTCAGTTATTGCCAGTTCAATAAATCAGTCAAATATTTCAAAAACTGTGTGTATTTTGTTAGGTAAGATTATCAATTTATTCTTTTAGTTCATCAAAAGCAACCAAAAAATTATATGCTGTAGTTAAAATAAAATTAATGAGAAGATATAGTTCAGATAAATTTATTGAAATTGAGGCATTAATTACTCATGTAATTACGGTCATGCCAATGGCTATTCCAGATGATAAAATACTATTGTTTTAAAAAGACAGGGTATTATTTTAGCTTATGAAGGTAAACATGATAATCAGTTGGTAACCATATTAATTGGGGAAGATGTGTTTTGGAATACTAGTGAGGGTTCTGGGTTTCAAAAAATAAATAAATCTCTTAATTGCATATCGGCAATTTTTGATTTTACTCTGCAGGGAATTCAGCAGACATGCAATAAATCTAGTTGTGTAATTATAGTATCTTCTAACTTAAATATAGGAACACATATTCAAGTGTTATGGGCATTGGAAAGCTTAGGCATAAGAGATAGAAAATAAATTTTCCATAGCTAGAAGCCGGTTTGACAGTTTGCGAAAGTGTTTTTAAAAAAATTAATGGATTGCATATAAGCAAATAATTTGCTACCAAAAGAGTAAAGGATTTATCAAAGAATATGGGAGGGATTGTAATGAACATTTTACGCCACATCGACCAGTTATAAACACAAATAAGGATACTACGAAAGTTCGCATTGTATACAATTGTAGTTCAAAAACTAAGAAAGCTATATCATTGAATGACTGTTTAGAAATTTGTCCAAATTTAAATCCTAATGTACTAGATGTATTATTGAATTTCAGAAAATTTAAAATTGCATTTAATGGGGATATCAAAAAAGCATTTTTAATGATAAAAATTGCTGAAGAGAATCGTAAATTTCTGAAATTCCATTGGCTTCCTGATAATGAAAGTGCTGAATATAAAATTATGCATATGAATAGGTTACCATTTGGTTGCAAAATTTCATCTTTTATACCAACTAGTACTATTAAAACCCACATTAGGAAATATGAGAAAACTAGCCATGTATGCATGTTAAATACATCATTATATGTGGATGACTTATATTTTGGTGCAGAAAATGCAAATGAGGCATATAAATTATCAAATGATGCTGTTTTAGTTTTGAAGGTAGGTGGGTTTAACTTACAAAAATTGAGATCCAGCTCTTTTGAATTGGAAAGACTGTGGGGTTTGAATCATTTTAATGTTGAGAATAATAGAAGACAGCTGAAAGTCTAGGTGTGAATTTATTTCTGAGGATGATATCTTTTTCCTTGATGTTAAATCGTTGCCTGATAAATTGAGTTCCGTGAAGAATACTAAATGTGGTGTTTTGTAAATAGCTGCCATGGTTTTTGATCCCATTGATATTTCAGCTCTTTTTGTGGTCAAAATAAAATGTTTCATGCAAGAGATTTGGTAAGTAAGGAATGTTGGCTTAAACAGTTGAAGGGACCTCAGTTAAATAAGGCTATTCTGGAAAAGAGTATGGCAAGGTTAAACTTAGTTGAAGAACTGTGGAATAAATTTTCTTCGTGGAATTGATTGCTTAAGATTATAGCTTGATGTTTGAGGTTTATTGGTAATGCTAGGAAATCTAAAATTCTGTCACCCTACCTAGAAGTAAGAGAACTTAATCTGGCTCGCAAAATTATTGGAATTAGAGTTGGAGGAAGATTAAAAAATGCAAATTTGCCAGAAGAAACTAAGCATCCAATTATTCTACCAAAAAGTAATCATGTAACAAACTTACTTATAAATCAGTATCATCTGAAGTATCTATATTCAGGTTTCCAGTTGATGCATTCTGCCATTTGTCAAAATTATTGGATTATTGGGGCACAATCAGTAATTTGTAAAATTAAAAGAAACTGTATAATTTGCATTTGTCATCACGGCGAACTGTCACTACAACTTATGGGTGACCTTCCTGTAGCTAGAGTTAATGTAGGGAAACTATTTTCACGGGCTGGTACCGATTTTGCTGTCCATTTCAAGTTTGCCATAAACGTGGCAGAAGAATACAACCAACAAAGATGTATGTATGTGTGCTTCATCAGAAAAGCTGTTCATCTGGACGCTGTCAGTGACTTGAATTCCAGTGGGTTTATTGATACTCTAAAACAGTTTGTTGCACGCAAAGGAACACCACAAATAATTTATAGTGACTTCGGATCAAATTATGTTGGTGCACAAAATGAATTTAAAATGTGAACTTCATAAAACATTGGGTTTAGCAGATGAAAATGTCAAGAAATGAAAATGCCTTCCGCCCCTCATTGAAGTAGTTAAAGTTTTTAGTAAAGTTGAAGAAATCTTTTTGAAAGGTGGTAGCTGAATGATTTTTCTCAAAGTATATTAATTATATGTGATGTTATAACTGTCTAAAGTTGCTTGCTTACATTAAAAATTGTATTGAAGTAGTTATTCAGTGTAACCTTCCTAAAGTGACCTCCCATGATTCTAAATAAATTTGGCCTTTTGTGGAGGTGACCTTAGACAACAAGACTAGACTTATTTAATTATATTAGACATGCTGGTCAAGAAATGAAAATGCCTTCCGCCCCTCATTGAAGTAGTTAAAGTTTTTAGTAAAGTTGAAGAAATCTTTTTGAAAGGTGGTAGCTGAATGATTTTTCTCAAAGTATATTAATTATATGTGATGTTATAACTGTCTAAAATTGCTTGCTTACATTAAAAATTGTATTGAAGTAGTTATTCAGTGTAACCTTCCTAAAGTGACTTCCCATGATTCTAAATAAATTTGGCCTTTTGTGGAGGTGACCTTAGACAACAAGACTAGACTTATTTAATTATATTAGACATGCTGGTTAGTGTGATTTCTGAGGGGCTGTCTTAGGAAGACAAGAGTTTTAAGAAGTTTTACTCTTTTGGAGAATTAAAGATAAAAATTATTAAGAGAAGTATGTTATTTTGCTTTAAATTTTTTTAGTTTATTACCCTGATTTTAAAATATTAGATGCTTTATGATTTGAAATACAAATTAATCTCATGCTGGTGCACCTCTTTGAATTCATAGTTTGCCAGTCCATATTGTTGGTTAATGTTTTAATAATATAACATGATGTGAAAATGGAAAAATTCATTCTAGATGTTTCAAGCATCCAAAATGAATGATGTGAAATTTTTAAAGCTCATTGCACATATTATTTCTTCAAAATGCCTTAATCCTTTGACTACAACTTTAAAAAAAAAAAAAAAAATATCTCGTATTCTATTCAGGTGAACAAAACATGTAATAAATAAGGTAAATCTAGCATTTGAGATTTTTTTAGCAAATGGTTTTCAAGTCAAAGGCTGAGATATGTAGTTAATGGTGGGATGCATATGTCCCACACATAGCGATTGACTTACTATAAGCACACCTATTGTTCTATAAAACTTTACGATATGAAATAGGTTAAAGGGTAAAGCATTCTTTGCATAACCCAACATTACAACGTTGGGAAACTCATATTTATTCTTTTCTCTAGATTCATTTGTGTACAACGAGCACAGCGGCATCTTGATTTTCCAACTGTTGGAAGATGATCCCCAACATTCAGGACATTCTTAGCAATCATCGAGGGATGACTGCAACCAGGCTTTCTTCAAACATTAGTGGCGACTTTTCCTACAGCCGTGATATGTTCAGCAAGAGGAATTATAAACTGAAGCAGTTTCATTTTCTTATGCTGAATCTTCTCAAATGTTATCCAAGAATATATCACCGAATTCATTAGAAGGCAGAAAAATACTTTTCTCCACCATTTAGTGGACTTTCAGTCCAAATCATAAACAGACATTTTTTGATCTGATAGATCAACTCTCCCCATTATTTGATCGTAAAATTTTATTGCCTCTGGACATTCAAAATCATTTTTCAACTCATCTTTCATAGTGCATTGTACATTTACAACAGAGGGGTTGTGACAAATAGTCAGGACAATCACCTCCTTGGAATCAACCCATCTTGTACACAGAGTTCTGTGAGAGATTGCTAGAAACTCAGTATGTCCTTTCTTTTTTAGTGTCGAATTGAACTTAGGAACATTTTTACGAGTCTTGATAGCTGTGCCTACAGCAGGAAAATCCAGTGTCTTAATGAGCGGAACACTTGTGAAGAATCTGTCAAATGCTGTTGCAGTTTCTTTACTACAGATTGTTGACACAAGCTTTTTCACAACTTGCTCTCCTAAAGTTCCTTCAGTTTGTTCTCTTTCTTTTCCGCTGTGTAGGTTCATATCATAAGTATAACCTGTCTTGACATCACATCTTTGCCACATTTTGATGCTATGTTCTACAAGTTTCAGTGGCATGTATTGTTTCAGAGACGAATGTCCTTTGAATTTGGTCATACTCTCATCAGTTGATAGAAAAGAACTTTCACTTCTTGCATTTTGGAATGTTTTTTGAGACATGCAATGACTTTATGAACATAATAAGTCTTGGAAAGCTTTTGTGGATCAGCATAATACATTTTGGAAGAAAATAGTGGGAACCTATCACAGGACATTGTATTTTGGATTGCAGTGTTACCTAAAGACACATGTTGTGACCAGTAATCTTTAATGTTAGGCAGTTGATTATAACACATAATTAAGCTGCAACGTAATACCATCATAATCTCACCAGTATCTATCTGTCTTTACAATCCATTTTTTTATTTTACATTCTAAAATTTCAAGACACTTATTAGTATGTTGGACAATCTGATCCACTAATCTCGTATGAAGCAAATTTTCAAATATATCAAATTTAGTTCTTGCAGTTTGCATCTAGCAAAATAACAGAAATGCTTTCAGGTGGAACTGAAAGTTGAGGGGCAAACTGAGGGCCTGCTTAAATCACAGGACAAGACAAGTAGGTGAAGGGAGGCACTGCATGTTGATTCTCCTGGGTTTTACCTTCTGAATGATCTGATTGAAGTTGTTCCTGTTCACTGTACTCACTTGAGTCTGAAGAAATGTTGATTCTTTTCAGTTTGAAAACTTGGATTATAACTATCTTGAAAATCATTTTTGTCGGAATCTTCATCTGAATCAGTCACAAATAATACATTCTCAATTTCTTCTTGAGTGAAGCTTTGTTTTCACTCAAGAATTTTGAACTGCAAATATATTAAAATTTGTAAAGATAAGCTTTTGAAAAAAGACATCTGTAAAATATGAATGAGACATAAGAATCCTAATGAACAATACGAGTGTGACATATCTGCCCCACAGCAAAATAAAAGCTATTTTGTGCTAGAAGCTTTAATATTATTTGCCAAAATAGCATTTTATTTATAGTTTATCATATATAATGGATAATATTGAAAAAAATAATGTGAAATGCTTATCAAATGATCAAAATTACCAAATTCACCAGAATACACACACAAACAGATTATATTGCCACAAAAAATGGTATTTGGTAGGAAAATATTTAGCACTAACCATTAGCCACAAAAAATGAAACCTGCACAATGGGTTTGATTCTACAACTGGGATATGTTACAGTGAGTTTCTAAGTACTTTTTAACCCAGCAGTAATTTTTAAACTTTTAGTGGGACATACGGGGTAACAATTATTGTACTATATGAAATAAAACATAAACTATTTTTTTTTAAACTACTGAATGCACAAACTTTAATCAACATGTAAACATCACAATAGATATTTGAATTTAGGTTATGACATCTTCAATATGCCTGCTATCTTTGGCTATGATGTGGCGCAGAAGAATAGCAAAATTCTGCATGACTCACTGAAATGTTGGAACATCGATGCTGTTGAGAACCTCCTGAATGGCAGTTTTCAGCTTAGCAATGGATTTGGAGTTATTTCTCTGCACATCGTCTTTAATATAGCCCCACAAAAATGAATCACACGTGATCAGATCCCTAGAATATAGCAGCCAAGTGAGTCCCATTCCAGTGGCCTCTGGGTATCCCAGAGCCAGAATGTGGTCTCCAAAGTGCTTCTTCAGTATATCAAACACTCTGTTGCTCCAATGGGATTGAGTTTCATCTTGCATGAACCGCATCTTGTTAAAATCAGGGGTACTTTGAATTATGGGGATGAAATCATTTTTCAAAACCTTCATGTATCATTTAGTAGTCACCGTGCCATCAACGAATATCGCACCAATTATTCCGTGACTGGATAATTCACACCACTCAGTCACCTGTTGAGGGTGGAGAGACTTCTCGATCATGAAATGCAGATTCTCAGTCCCCTAAACATGCCAGTTTTGCTTATTGATGAATCCATCCAAATGAAAGTGGGCTTTGTCACTAAACTAAACCATATTCACATCAAATTCCTGTTTGTCAGTTCTCTTGACAGTAGTGTTGGTGAAACACAACTTCTGTTCCACGGCCATGGGCCTTAATGGCTGATGGGTTTGAGTTTTATATGGGAAGAGAAGCAGGTCTTCAACAACAATTTGTTGCAGGGTCTCCTAGTTGATTCCTATCTGTTGCGCAGATCGTGTGATCGATTTCCTTGGAATAGTTTGAAACACAGCACGTGTCTTTTTGATATTTTCAGGCATTTTCACACTTGTGTGTCAACTGACATTACCAACACTGTCATCACAAACACTACCAGTTCTCTCAAACTTGTGAATACAATTCTTGCTTGTTAGCACACTTCGACCAGTTGTCTTCAACTTTTATATAGTCGCAAACTTCCTTTGAGCCACAATCGGGCTGTTATTGCTGGCGCTCTATGCTGTGGCACGCTGTACCATGACATTTTCATTTGAAAACGGCCGACAATAACAAGCAGTGTGTGCAAGCGCATACTAGTTCCCATCAATGCTCTGCAGCCAACCACGAAGTTTGAATTTCATCATGCAACTCATTCATAAGTTATGACAGTTTTATTTTATATAATTCAACAATTGTCACCCTGTATATGTCCCATTAGTAGTCAAAGGGTTAAAACTGCCATGTTATTCATAATATTCAGTTTCATTAATTTTTTTCAAATTATGGTTAAATTTACAAATTGTGGTTAAATTAAATTTTATTACTGTAGTAAATAAAAATAAAAATATTTTTTTTATTGTTCAGGTTATTTAATATTGTTTTAATTTTGTAAATTCAATCTTGTTATTTAATTTACGAAGTTATTTAATCTTTTCAATTTTTTTTTCAAATTCTGATTAAATTTACACGTACATTGGCATAGTAAATAAAAAAAAAATTTTTTCATTTTTCAGGTTATATAATCTTGTTTTTTTGTTCTAATAGTATATTTTATTAATATTTATTGCTCTGTGAATAATGTTTTTAAAGTTAGTTTTTATTATTTTAGACAATAATAGTATTTTATTTGCAGAAATTTGTGAATATTTGTATCAGCAGTTCTTCCTTAAAATAAAAATTAAAGAAGAAGGATCCAATTCTTCTCCAGACACTCTGCCAAACTCTTTAGAGTTGCAATCCATTTTGAACCGTCCAAAACAAACACTGTTGCAGTCTGTGGCTCTTCCTACAACGCATACCCCTAGCATTGTAGTTTCAGCTGCAGCACAAGGTCAGATAATTTATTTACTGTATTTTTTAATTTAAAAAACTTCCTGAAATAGAGTAAATAATAACTTTTATATCTAAGATATCACAGTGTTTTACACATTAGTGCTTTTCAGCTTTCTATTTAGTTAAATTGTAAAATTTCAATACTTGTAATTTTCTATTACCTAAGTTGTAATGAATCTGAATTTTTAAACTGTTTTAAGAAGAGAAAATTAACTAAATTGCAATGATACAGGATAGCATATGGAATGAACGTTATTTACTGGAAATAGCTTATAATGTGCAAGACATGTTCACTGAGTATATCGTCCTTAAGCTGTTTAAGGTCAGGAAATCCTCATGCTTATGATAATTTTATAACACAAATTTCTTTCTCATGCTGCAGGAAAAAATCCCACTGACCACTTCCAGAACTGCATTTTCTATTATCATCATAAGAAACAGTCAGCGATTAACATCTTAACACCTGGCTTTATATGTTACAAATTATGCATAAATATCAGGCAGTAACTTAAAATTTTCAAAGTTTCCTATAAAAAAGGTTCATTATCCATTTTTGATCAGTTACCTATATTGATTTTCACATTACTTTTGTCACTAAAAATAGGCCTAAATGTTGTTAAAACAAAACATTTAAATGTTTTCAGTAACATATCTATGTATAATAAATATGTGAATAATAATGAATGTAATTTTTAAGTTTTTATTCTGAAAAAGTCTGTTTTCTTTTTCTTTCTTCTCTGTTTGTATGTGTGTTATAAGCCATACTAAGATTCTTTGAACAGATTTGGTATATATTACATAGAACTGTAACGTCATTAAATTCAAATTTGCTTTGCCAACCCACATAATCCAGGAGCAAGCCTGTTTATTGTGCCCTCATACAGTCTACCTAAATCAAGATATTGCAGCTTACCTGCAATATATTGATTTAAGTAGACTGTGTAGCTTTCATTATACTTGATATTTTTAACCCATTCATCCCTAATAATTTAATTTACATTTTCAAAATCAGAGACACTAGAAATTATTTCAACAAGGTCAATTGCTATAACCTCTTTGCTGCTTAATCTTTCTTCTAATATCAGTAAAAATTTTTTTTCCAGTTTTGTATTAAAATTGAAGTTTAAGCTTCTATTTTATGATTTAACAATCAATATGGCATATATCAGTGTTTGTTTCAAAAACTTATGAGATTTTAGTTTTTTATATGTCCATCTGCAAAAGATGTTTGCTATGAATGTGCTTCTTTGCTGATATGACACCTTGATCCATTGGCTGAATCAAAGTCATGTTGGATGGGGGAACTTTGTAACAGTCTCTCCATAAGTGAAAAGTAGCTCAGTAGGATGGCATGATATATTACCAATTAGAAGAAGCTCTTTTTTTTTTTTTTTTTTTTTTTTTTTTTTTTTTTTTTGTTGCGAAATCCTCTGTCTAACTTAATTGTGGGGTAAATTTCCTATGGAAATTATTTGTAAAATTCCAGTGTCTATCCAGAGCAGGTGACAAAAAATCGCAATAAATAGGAATTTTATTTTCAAAGTTTTTTTCCAAAACTTTTAAGGTTTTTGGACTTGCCTATTACAAGCTTCAGTCTCAGAGTTTTTGAAGCATTGTAATGGCTTCGTGGTTCAGTAAGGCACCGTTTAATAAGACGAAATGAACATTTATTAAAAATATGGTTCAAAGCATAATAGTAAACTCGGAGCAGTATGTCGCTCCTACAGCATAGCGAAATATGCAGCCTTCCTCTTCTGAGGCTAACATGCAACTCTCTTAAAATACATTAATCCTTCTTGGAGAAGAGCTACACGCACCAAGCACGCTCTGTTGATCCCCAAACAGTCGCCAGATACTACACCCCCGTCGTAAAATTGTTGTTGATACTGTTTACAGATCAGTCATCAATCTGGAAACTCAAATCTAGCAGCTATTTGTGATCAATGAGAAAAAGAAGAAAAAAACTACATTTACATTTAAACATTCTGCACTAATATTCAAATCTCAACTACTATAGACATTTGCAATGTAATACCTACAATTACACATCAATTTACTACATAAATATATATAAACATAAATAACCCATTTTTCTTAACTTCACCCCACTATTATTATTATTGTAACAATTTCTCAATATTTAACCCAAAGAAACCAAGTTGATATTTTTTCTTTTATAAACATGTTAAAATGTACCCTAGTATTATTCCAATGATGACAGTAAAATTATTTAGCTTCTTACTTTACATATGAAAATTATCAATAAAACATTATCAAAATTTCTCTATTCAGATTACAGTCAAAAGTCGTTAATTCGGACACCTATAATCCGGACCTCAAAACTAAAAACTTTCTGCGCATGCGCCGCGTTGACACATGCGCATAGGCGTTTACGCGTGCGCGTAAGACCTTTTACGACTGCGTGATGCTAAAGCAAAGTTTAAAGTTTAAAGAAATTAAACATTTAGCAGTAGTAGCAATGAAAGCTCTCTGAGTTATGTTGTGCAGACATTAAAGACAATAAAAGATTTTGAACTTAACCAATTTATTAACAATATAATATAGAATAAAAACACAAAAATAAATATCAACAATATTAGAGTATTAGGAAAAACATAACATAATCATCATTCATCAAATATTTTTACCTGTACTCCAAAACACTGGCATTCTATACAAACAAAAAATGAAAATGTCCTAAATAGTAACTATGCAGCCTAAAAAAATAAAGCTGGCTATCCATTCCATAAGTCCATAATCAATGGTCAAGAAAACACCTGAAAAATTTTAATGTGAAAACACTTAAAACCGGCCTAACTCCGTTTGCACAAGAAGTCGTCGCCGCTCACGTATTTTCATTCCGCCCTCATTGAAGAAACATGGACGCCGCCCACGGCAGTCACTCACAGGATAGCCCCCGGAACCGAAGAACTTCAATCTGGAACCATCAACTCGTAAACCGGAATCAAGGCATCCTTTCACCGGACTGCATGCATCCTTTGAAGGGGCTAGAAACCGCTCACTCACTTGAGCCAGAGCGATGCGAGATACTTATAGCAGAAGTAGGAATGACGTCATCTCACGGCAACCAATCAGCTATCGGCACGAATCGGCTTTTCAGATGACGTAAATCATGTTTCGTTTTTGCATCTCAATTAGGTTGAAACAGTCCGTTCTCAATGCAAACAGTGGCAGCAAGAAAAGAAGTAGAAGTAACTACTATATTATATTAAAATAAGAACTAAACTAAATAAACATTTCAAGGAGGAGAGATGATGCATTAAAAAGTTTAAAAATAAGCTATATTTTCCAACACTGCGCATATGAGAGTGCGCAAGTGCAGAATACGTTTTTGCGTGCGCGTTTTATGTATAATGGACGTATAAGCTAAAATTATCTAATTATCTATTTCAGTTAATGTTAATGATTGCGATGTTCCTTAATTTTCGAATTGGACCCGGCTTATTATTTTTTGCAGACTGTAAGAGCAATTTTATAAAAGTAAGCTTAAACTTTCGATTATAGCAAATAGAATTTCCGATATATATTTGTTAATATGTAAAGGATCTAAAGCGAAAGTATGTTTTGAAATCCGAAATCTGTTTATCAATTTCACGCTGGCGAGCGCATAATGAGTTGGAAGTTGATCTGTCAGCACTATCCTTATCTTCAGTGCAGATGTTTTTATTTTATTTGGCTTATAATTCCTTACCAAATGTAGTATTTCATCTCGACATGCTCCGTCTTTGATATTATTTAAAACAAGTTCCTCGTCATTATAATTCGCTTTCGATAGCGAAGAAAAGTGACAGAGGTTATTGAAAACGAAAAAATTTCGATTGACAAATTAGTCGGTGTTCTTGACACGGCAATTATAGGACTTGAACAGCGGAACTTTATAACTGAACAAGAAATTATGTCTGTTTAATAGAATTAAAGAGAAAGTATTATCACATGAAACGAAGCAAAACTTAAACAACTTACATTGAAAGAAATGTTTAATAAAGTAAACAAATATATATTAAGCTTTTTCTTTTTGCAAATTTTGATACCCTTTAGATCATAATTGTTCTTTATTTCATAAATTACGGTTTCATATTTTTAATTTTAGAATTTCTGCATGCCATCTAACGAGATTTAAACTGATGATCTAAAATCTGGAAAATCGATAATCCGGAATCGCCGAAGTCCCGACGAGTCTGGATTAACCACTTTTGACTGTACTTATTAATTCTATTCTTAACATTCTCTTTAATTAATGATGCTGCAACATGATTTATATCCTTGGGAGAAAAATATATAAATTTACCACTTACTTTGAATATTTGTTATCCAATAATTTTTCTATCAATTTCAAATTACATAAACATCTTATTTGCACAAAATTGTAAAATTATTAAGAAAAGCAAAGAAAAACTATCTAATCATTAACTGTACAAAATGTTTGTGAAGATGAACAGTAAATTAATGTTCAAAGTTCACAGGTGGGGAGTCTGGATAATGCATCTGCGTTCGACAGTTGTTTTCCCTGGGCAATGTTCTATTTCGAGATTATATTTCAGCAAAGCTATGGCCCATCATTGTAATTTGGATGATTGCGGAGCATTTCTCACTATGAAGGCTAGAGGATTCTGATCAGTCACAATTTTCACTGATGAACCGAATATCCAAGGTTCGAACTTTTTCAATGCCCATACTGTAGCATAAGCTTCACGCTCTATAGTCGGCCAGCTTTGTTGAGGTTTCGATAATTTCTTGCTCGCATAGCACACGGGAAATTGTTTCTCTTCCCTTTGCTGTGATAAACATGCACCTATTCCGATTTGGGATGAGCATCAGAATGAATGACAAACGGATCCTGCAGTGTGGGGGGGGGTGATCAACTCCGTTGACATCAGTAATTGTTCTTTCAGTTAGAATAGTTCCTTCAGTTGTTGAAATGTTGACTCATGAATTTCTTTCCATTCGAGTATTTCCGGTTGTTTATTTTTCGTGAGT